AGCAAAGTAATTGTCATCAATTTTTCTGAGAAGCCTAAGGCAAAATACCAAAACCTGAGACAAACGTTTTCCTGATTAGGGAAAAATAAATTAACACACTTAATTACATCTTACATCTAAATAAAATAAACATAAGCTCAGAGGAGGCATGATACGTACTATGCTACCAACCAAATGAAACTAATGATGGTGAGTCCATCATTAAGACCTTGCTACTGTTCATTAAGTACACAAGGTCTGAAGGACAACAGAAAAGCTAGGAGGGACCCAAAACCTACAGCTTCCCCATCTTTCAGTCTCATTTGGCCTGTTACTCTTGTCTGGTCTGCTTCTGTCAGAAACAAAGCATGTCTGACCTCATCCATAGTCAGAAACAGTCCTTTAATGTGTTTTCTAGCTACTGTTCCAGTTTCCTCAGCTTCACTTAACTTCCCTACCTCTTAACTCCTATTTCAATTAGGGGATTTTTTCTAACCTAGGTAATTTTGCCTGAAATGAGCAAGAGCATAAGCAGAGCAACCAGCTCTGGAAACGGTAACCTGTTTCCCTGGCTTAGCTGAAGTCAGAAGAAAAGGTACATCCAAGGCCAGCTTTGACTGCCTCCTTCATTCCTTCCTGGATTCCCATTAGTCCAATTTATTATTTTTTAAATTTATTTTTTATTTTACTACAATTGCTAAAATGTGTTTATCTAACACACCCAGAACTTATAAAACTTTTCTGATACATGTACCATGGTTTCTTATTAGCTTATTCCTAGCCAAGATGTGGAAGCTACCTCATATTTACACTTTCTTTCATTTTTACATAGTTTAAGCACTTTAAAACAGTTTTGTTTGAAGGAAAATATAACTAGCAATGGACATGGGACAGGGAGGGGAGAAAGGCATGCAGTATACTTCCATACAGTACAGAAACTGTAACTATTTTATCATGACAGAAATGCCTGTATGTTTTCTTTATGGTCTGATATTAAAACCAAAACTCTCTTAACTAAATCCTTGCAATGTAAAATTTCACTTTGAGAGCTGTCAGTCTTCTCTCAGAGCAGCACTTCCAGAGTCCCATTAAGAAGAGTTACATACAAGCAAAGACCATTCAGTTATGTCTGTATAGATCTTACCAGAACACGAGATCTGACAAAGCAGGAGAACAAGAAACAGTTCTTCTGAAACTATACACACTACAGCTGCTGAAACGTAACTGGCTTTCTTACTTAACTGCAGCTTCTAGGCCAGAGATTTAATTTACCTAAAAATGAAAAGCAGTTAAACAGCAGCTCTGGAAACAGAATCTGGACAGCCTGTTGGCCCAGCCACACATCCATTTTTCCTTCTTTGTATGCACCATATCTATGAAGTTTCAAACGCAAGGTTTAGAAAAATCTGTGATTTTCAGCACCTTCCAGCAAGAAGGCTGTCCAATAAGGGTAACAGTTGTTAATACCACTGAGGGCTGTTAACAAGTAATCTTAATTTAGCAAGTCAAGTAAACAAGCAATTAATCCAAATGTCTGAACACTTTAAAATATTATTCTGCTGAACATTTAACAATATTGTTGACCTGAAGGAATCCAGTCAGCCAGTAATTCCATCAAGAAAAAAAGCATTCATGGATGCATAAATTCCTGTGCTGTCTTCTTAGATGCCATGCTTAGATGACTCTGCACTAACAGACAAACTGAGGTCTGAGTGTCAAATCTCATTCAGAAACTGAGAGGTTTGATTTTTTGCCAAAAGCAAGGAAGGTACTTGGCTCATTTGGCAATATTTGCCTTCTGAAAATGATAGATTTTCAGAGGTAACCCATGTCACTTCAACTTGCATATGCAACATTTAAGAAACTGGACACATAATAATGGACTAATTAATACAGTGTTGCAGACTTGATGTCTAGACAAGATAAGACATTTCAAGAATCCCTACGACTCATGCTCATAAAGGAACACCAAAGAGATAGCCTTTTGTGTAACACCAATGCTGAATTGCTCCAACTGCAAATCTAACACCAGGGACACGTTTGTCATCACTTCCGAAAAAACCCCACACTTCAGCACTTCATGTTCTAAAAGCATAAGCTGATCCTTAACTATAGAAAAACAGAAACTAAACAAATCCAAAACAATACTTCAACTGAAGTATGTATATTGCACGCTAAATAAATGCAAAAATATTTAAAAGACCTGAAATTGCTACATCGGTAATCTATGAATATTCATGGACCTTGACATGCCAATGCAAAATTATCTGCTATAATATTCTTAAGTATCGAGACCAATTTTTTAAGCTCCTGTTTAATGGGCTTCTACCCACCATGCTCAGACAACATATAACTGCAAATTTCAAAATTGTAATTGTAGAGGAAAGAGAATGCTCAAAAGCACAAGGAAACTCTTAGCTCAAAAAAAACCTCACCAAAAAAAACCAACCAGAAAGTTAAGTACCTCACTATTCTTCTTCTAAAAGCTCTCCAAAGTTTCTGGCTACTTGCAAATATAACATCAAAAGCCACGTCATGGATCTAGGCCCTACTTCATGGATCGTATTAAAACGTGAGACACACATGAATGCTGCAGAATTTTCACTCAATGCAAAGAGGTACAAGGTGGAAAAGGAGACGCACCAGGATGGAAGGGATCAGTTTTCTCAGTACCTACACGCAAAAGTGCCAGGAAAGATCCTGTTCTACCAAGCACGAAGTGGCTGAGCCAGCAGGTCCTGGGAACAAAATCCTTCCCTGAGAGCAGCCAGTTGAGCCACCACAGGGGGAGCAGGCCCCTCATCTTCCCAGGTGAGGCCAGCCAAAAGCAGGGGAGCACAGCAAGGAGCTGGGACTCCACAAGGATTAGGACAGGAAGCTGCCAGGAGAAGCAGGTAGCAGAAACCATGTTCTTGGTAGAAGGAAGCATGTTCTGGAGAACAGCGTGCGGGACTGATGGCAGCCAAGCTCACAGAGAGAGCAGTGTAATGGGGTGTCCAGAGAAACAGTGGAGTTTCCCTCACTGGAAATATTTGGGACTCAACTTGACAGAGCCCTGAGTGACCTGATGTGGGGCCTGTTTCAAGAGAAGATGGGCCCATCTTGTCTAGCTCTCAACAAACTCACAGTCCCTGAAGTTATTAAAAATACGAAATTTGTTCAGCAGAATACAACATATTGAAAAAGCTTCCAGCATCATTCTAAAATCTTACTTTAACTCTGCAGAAGCCAACAGCTTCAATATTCAAATCAAGAACAGGAGAAACTGGTTCTATGAAATCCAAATCTTTTAAAGTGACTCCTCAGGCTTTTCTGAGCTAAGTTCCTAGAAGTATTCTGTTTCACAGAACACGATCTAGATGTCCTTAGACATAAGTGCAAACTCTACCAAATATAATAACATTAGATCATACTGAAAACAACATTTGGTTTTTATACCTAAATTTTCCATCTGTCTATACTATAAGCCTGTCCTTAGGACTGAGGGGGTAAATCTTTCTGGGCAATACACCAACCACAGATCCACCAGCATCAGGCTAAATAATCACAGCTGCCATTTTCCTTGTCTTTATTATTTTCAGTTTGCCATTTTAAAATAGTCATAAGTTTATGCATTTGGTAGTAGCTTATTTAAACCATGTATGACCTCGTGATCAGGTGCACAGGCATAAACAAACCGCATCATGACCCTCATAGTTACAGCATGCTCTGGTTAACCCCATCCCAGCCAGACCCAGCACACGTGCAAAGCTACGCTCACTAGGAACACCAGTATGCAAAGTCAACATTTAAAAAAACCCCAAACAATTGCATAGAAAGTTGTTTTTTAAGCATCAAGTAAAAAGGAGCAACAGCACTACAGCACAGGAAACGGCCTCACAGGCAACAGAACAAAGGCTACTAGAATTAAGATGGAAAATGAAGACACAGAATAAGCTTATCTCAAACAAGACCAGACACCTATTTTCTTGAAGATATTATGATGAAATAATTATGAGGGGGAAAACTGATCTATATTTCCCTTCCACCGGTCCCAGGCATACACTGCAATCACTGTTAATCAGAGCAAGTTTGAAGAATGTCATCTCTTTCTCCCACCCAAATTATAAACTTGAAATGCAATTTCCACAGTTGGGCATAGTTGAATTGCCATCAGAAAAATCAAGTCAGAAAAATCTTAAAACTCTCCATTTAAAGTAACAAAAATATGGAAACAAAACACTTTGATTGTTTATGGCAAACGAAATTGAAGGTTATTGCAGATAATTCCCTTACTGTGAGGTGACATGATACTAAAGACTAATACAGGAATAAACTTATGGTGAACCTTCTCAAAAATTCAATGTTACAAGAAGAGTAATAGAAATCTTGTTCTGTATTAAATTGATCCCCAAGTACTCAACACAAAAGAGAAAGATAAAAGTATACAAATTTTGAACACAACAACCCTCCCTCATCCAGATATAAAAGACTGCAATCAATACAAAACTTAAAGCTTCTTATTCTTCAGAGAATGACAAAGGCACTGAGATTCAAAGCTGATTTAGGAAAAAAACCTCAAAACCCCCCTAAAACCCCCCAACAACCACAAAAATACCCCCAACAGGCAGCTTCTAGTGTATAATCCCAAACTGTATACATTTATGTTAAGGAAATTACAGTGTAAAAGTAATTTTTGATAATTTGATCTCACATAGAGCCTTACTTTTTAATTACATTTGAAATTATCTGTATTATATTTGATTTTCAAACAATTATTCAAAGACGGAGTCATTTTCTTGGCTTGCAAAACAGCAGGTGTTGTAAGTTACAGAAAACTACCACCAATTCCCACACACAGATAAATGCCACGCTTCTTCAGAATTAAATAGATAGAGGAGTTATCATCACATCATCTCAAGAAATCAGATTACATGCATATTATGCTCCAAGAAGGAGGAAAAAAATAAATCAACATATTTCTAGCAGATCAAACCATTACACAGGTACTGAATCAGTGACAAAATGTCAAGAGGACTCACCTGTTCAATCTCCTTTGTCTTAGTTGCAATTGCTTTTGAGCGGCCAAGAAGCTGGCCATCTTCATATAATTCCGTATTATCCGTTATATTTGTTTCTATTTCCTCTGTTTGTTCGACGTATAATGGAGCTGAGGATCCAGCCTTAAAAAAATATTAAAAAATAAATAAGAGTTTTGAGAGCAAAAATAAAACCCAAATACAGTCACACAGATCTGAGTTTGTTTATCAAGACTAATAGTGAAGTGCTATTGCTATATTCTAACAGACACAGAAATATGGAATTTAAACATGTAGAAAAAAAAGGCATCATAAAAATCCTGTGACTCAGTCTTAACTGTGTAAAGATAGTAATGTCAGATAACCTTTACCTGCTCTTTCACTGAGAAGGAACCTGTACATATTATAACACCAGCTAGCAAGAAAAATCCACAATGAAAGTGAGATTAGTTTTCTGGGAAAGGACAAAAGTAACAAAATCAAAGGTAAATAGTCATCCACAAAATCAAAACGCTATGAGAAAGAACTCTTGCAGCATTCAGAACAACAGGTTTAGTATTAAAGGAACAGAGATACCTGTTGTATAGCAAAAGCAAACATGCAGTTAGAGGATTCCTGGTAATATGAGAAATCTTACTAAATTCTCCAAAATTGTATAAGCTTCCCTCAAAAACAGAAATTAAGATACTATCCTTGCCCCAAAGAAAAAAAAATCTCACTCCAAGGAATCTATATAGATGTAAAAAGAGAAGAAATTACTACAGCATGTTTAAATCCAATAATATGGAACAGATTTGTAGAATGTAGTAAAATATATTTTTTTAAAGTAAGATCTGAAAATTGAAGAAGATGCATAAAAATATTTTCTACTATCAAAAATAAAGAGTTGGAGAATCTTAAGGCTTAACTAACTTGAAAGAGAGAATCATTACGTTTGTATCCCAAATCTTGTTTCTGCAGTAAATCATGAAATGCCTGAGAGGAAGTAAGGCCTGCTAAAAAATTCAGTGCAACACCAAGTACAACCATTAAGCATTACGTAAGATACACCAGAAAAAAATTAAAAATGGTTGCAATTCATACCTGACAGCCTACTAATCAAGGTGAAAAGTATCCTTTCTTCTAAGACTCAGAATGAGAGGCCTCACCTCCTTCATTAGCATTCCTGTTGCACACGTTCTTAGTCAACAAATCACATCCAACTCTGCCATAATCAACCGCAATTGTTTCATTTTGAATCTTTCTTTATTTTGAATGTTTGCCACTGCAATTTGCTCTGCAGCACAGAGGACGCTTTACACAACTCTTTTCCATATGGCCCATCCTGTTCTTTCCTCCCTTGCATTATGTTCGCCCAACAAGAACAGGAGGGACATTTCTTTTCACTGTTACTGTCCTGAACCCCTCAGAAACATCCTCCTCTGTATGGCATTCATGCTTGGATCAGTTTGCTGCTCCTTTTTCCTTAATCTAACCATGGCCCCCTCCTTTTTTTAAAAATTTCTTTTTCCTGGAGGAAAATGAACAGTTTATTTATCCAACTGGATCTTCCTGTCCAGCATCAAGAAGCTGTTGACGCACTCAGCCATTACATCAGTGGACAGGACTTAAAACTTCAGGTATATATGGATCCAGTGAGTTTATTCCTTCAGTCCAGCCTTTAGGTTCCACAAGTGTGACATACAAGGAGGAAATGTGATGATTCCCAAGGCAGAATCAAGAATTAAACCAGACTGTTTTACCAAAAGACATTCCTAGATGATCTTTAAGGTCCCTTCCAACCCAAACCATTCTATGACATTGTTTGTTTTAAACGACAAATGCATCTCCCACTAGCATAGCAGAATCCAAAAAAGATATCCTATCCAAGAGAAGCATAACAAAACAAAGACTGAAAAGTGATATAATCACACTACAATACAGCAAGGGGTAGCAGGCAAGGAGGGGCAAAACCAGATGGGTATAAACTAGCAATTAGTTAATGTTGATCGTTATTGAAATAAAGGTTCTGGGAAAAGACAATCTACCCACTGCAGTACCAAGGCAAAAGATTAATATTTAATATAGGAGAGGACTGCTTTCTGAAAAGGAATGCATGACATGGCAGGGTAAAATGTCACAGAACTGAAACCAATATAGTCAACAGTCTTATGTTTTATATGTACACATGTATTTTGGCTCAGAAGTCCCTCACTAATTTTAAGGAGTTCAGCAGACATACAGACTTACACTAGTGCAAGAATCCCTGGGAGAGCTGGAGCCTTAATCTTTCAGTTGTAGCTCAACATTAATTCGAATTAGACTGAAAAAAACCTACTCTGGTTTTGTGTAATTTTTTTAAACAAATAAACAAATAGATCGCAAGGCTTTAGTCTCCATCTGATCCCTGTCAACAAACATTAAATAGCATAGGTGGACAAACTCAGCAGCAAGTTACAAAATGTGCCTTTCAGAAGAGGACAAAAAAACAAGTCGATTGTTGTAACACTTTAAAATAAATCAATTAATATTCCTGTCTTACATCATACTCTCTTATTTCAGGTAGATTGCTTTCATTGGCCTTCTCTGCCTTTTCAGCTGCCCACTTGCTTGCAGCTTCTGCAAGTTCCTCTTCCGACAGTCTGTTGCTCTTATCCAAGGCCTGTATAATAACACCATAGTCAAGATTTAATGTGAAATATATTTACACATGGCAAAACATCTTCAAAATTAAAAGAAACAGTTATTCAGATCCCCAAAACACTGTAAAATATGAACTAGATAAAAAAATAAATTAATTAATTTCAGTAAAATGTTAAAAAGCACCGTACTTTCAGAATCAGGTTTATTAAATTCACAGGACAGAGATAACAGAAAAATTGTTTGAGACCAGTTGAGTTTAAAGAGACATGGATCAAACGGGCACTAAGAAGCCAGAAACAAGCGTGCAGTGATCTAATAATTAAATGTGATTTTCAGGCATAAAAGGCTGGATCAAATTTAAACTAAACTATTAAATACTCCGCAGGGTATAAAACCTAAGCCAATTAAGGACAGAAAGTATTTTATGCATACTTTAAATTATCAGAGCTGCTTCCATTAAAATTTTTTCTTTTTTATTTAGGGGGAATGTTGATCATTTATAATAGAGTCAGTGTTGGTTTTACGGTCTTTAATATACCTTTTCTGATGGAAAATCTCATATAAATAACATTTAAAATCTGATTTCTCTCTAAGAATACAATTTGTCTTTCACTAACAGAGCAACAAACAGACAATGATAAACACCTGCATAACAAAACCATTTTAGGAATAGCTAGCTTTATAAATCTTGTTACCACTACATGGGTATTTATTTCATTTCAGTCAACATCAATATGTATAGAAGCATCCATCCAAGAATCTATACAACTCTGGTATTAAAAAATGCAACACCAAGATGGATATCTAAAAGAGATACAAAAATTCTACTGCCTGAAAAAGGTTGTCGCAATTTCTGCTCAATGCCTGGTTCCATCTTAGCAAAGAGAGGGACAAAAAAAAGCGAACAACGAAAAAAAAAAAACCCTGAAAAAAACCCTTCCTCAAATAGGAAACTTTCTTTTCTATCATCGTAAATCACAGATTTATAATGAGTGAAGCCAGGAGGTGACAAAGTTCAATATGCAGGGGTACAAAGCGGGTTCTTAAAAGAAATTAATAGAATAATTAGCCCAGCTCACCTTTCCAAACGACACAATTATTCTTACACTAGTCTCACTAAAAACTATCTGCTGCCAAGTTTTGGGGTTTTTTCCAATGTTCTTATTCCCCGTAGTGTGCCTGACTTTTACCTTTAACCTGACTTTTCCCTAGCTGCCAAAAAATCTTGCACTGTGGTTATATTATGAATCTCACCCTTTCCTCAAACATAGCTCTGGCCAATACTAACAAAAGGAAAAACCGAGTATCTTTGTCACTGATGGTCAGCTTTGCATGAAATGAAGACAAATAAAATCTCACATGACCTACAATAATTCCACAAGCCACAAACAGAAACCAACCACCATAGAATCTAGTGAAATACAGCAAAAAATTGGTTTCAGTTAATCTCACTAAATTTAACTCTATAGGTCGCATGTCCTACAGAATCCTGAGTGCATTTTATGTAATAAAATAATGGTACTTCCACAGGTACATACTGCAACTGAAGAGAAAGAACAAGAACATATTTCTCAGAAGAAAATGTCTGCTGCTACTTAGGCTTCAACTTGCAAGAAATGAACAACCTAGTATATCTCATAAAAAAAGAACAAAATCTCCCCCCCCTCCGTCTCAAAACAGAGGTAGCTTTTAAAAAATTTTTCTTAGGTTATTTTTTTTCACCTTACACATAACATAAGAACCGCAAAAACTTGTCAGTTTTCTGCTATCTCTGCTGGGAAGCCTTCCCTGTCTCACACATCTGCCTTTTGGTCTAATTATGTTGGGTATAGCCTCCAAGGCTTGCAGTCCAGACAGCTATTAAAGAAAAACACAAAAGTTTTCATGCCGTAGCCAATTAAATAGGTGGTTAAGATCAGATAACACCAGCATGTATTAATTCACATGCATGAATATGTAAAAAATTAATCTTAACACAGATAAGAATACCTTTTCAGATTTGCATATAGAAACTACAGTGAAAAAGAGATATTGCTGCAGAAGCATATACCTTTGTAAGTATTTCAAACCCAAATTATAACTTAGAGCATAAAAACTATCTCCTTTAATCTATAAAATCAAGTATATAACTCATTTCTCAAGTCTAAGTAGATTGTAAGGCTCTGGCCCTAGAGACATTAATCATGTTTTGCCAAGACTTCTTCTGGCAGTACTTCTATGTCAGTGAAACACTTATAATTTAACTGGTCAGTGCAAACCACACATCACCCCAAGAGGCTCCGCTGACGTAGGACAGTACATTACAAGCAGATTTCAAGACTTTGAGAGAAAAGGAGTAACATGTCAATGAAGTACTTCCATTTCTGCAGCTGATGATACCCAATATTGGTGTTGTCTGGGGAAATGATTTCCACCAAACAAAAAGTGTCATTTTGTGTAGCTTATATCAAGTGGATATCCAGTGCCAGGAGATACTTACAAACTGCTGGCAAAAAACCAATACAGCATACAGCAGACCTGACTGAAGAAGAAAGCAAAACATTTAAAGAATACTTTATAGTTCAAGCTCATACTGCATATTAATACCAGAGCAAGAGATTTTGCAATGCCTCCTTGTTCTCACAGATTCGTATTAAGCAAGGATTTGGTATTAAGCTGTAATATGCGGAGTCTGTAAGCAAAATAGGTGAACTAATTATAAAGTTTATTTTATAATCCAGATCAGTGAAACTTGCATCTAACAGCTTTTATCTTACTTTCCTTATTTACATAGCTGAAAATACATCGTTTGCCTCCCCCCTTAAGGACACTGACAATTAGCTAATGCCTAGTACAGCAGTTCTAAAAGGGCTGCATAAGGGATACTCAGAATGACATAGCATGACCAAAGCCTGACTTTTTCCCCCACCTAATTATTTCCTTCAGTTCTCATAACAAAAAGTACCTTTCTTTCTTCTATTTTTTTTGTTTAGGCATTCTGCTGCTTATATTAAAAATAACCTCAAAAATCAGGCTAGTACACCAAGCTACTTAGGGCAAATACTACTTTTTAATAGGACCTTATTCACTTAGAACAATATAATGCACTGCTTCTCTATTTCTCATTAGAGATTTTCTCAACAATTTAGGGAAAATACTCCTGTAGTAATGCTCATTTTAGCCTCAAATATAATTTACAGACAAGCAGTCTGTGATGTGAAAATGTTTTCGCTGCCACAGACAATATTAAAAGAACAGCCAGAACAATATTGAAAGCTGATTGTTCATCAGTGTTCATTAGCCTGTTCGTTTAACTAATTAGCAAGATTTTGTAGTTGGTGCTCAGTCCATAAGATTTTTTTGATGGGAAATTAAACAGCACCATTTAGAACATAAAACGGCATTTACCAGACTACCTTGCAACATGGCTCCCTTCCCAAGTAAACGCTGTCATTCTTGCCACATCCATGAGCAACCCTGCTCCCAAGCCAACTCTGCTACTCACATTATCTTCCCAGGCAGTTTGACACTTCACCACACTGTTTCCAAATCCAGTCACAGCTTAGGAATCACTATATGTGATGGATCACTCCAGGATGGAGTTCAGGGCAAGTACAGGCTTGTCCAATTGACAAGTTGCTCCTAAAAACTGTTTCCCCATTTTAATCCTTGCCATTCCTTTCCTAGCACACTCCTGACTTTGGAAAGTGACAACTTCAAATACATATAAAACTCTTTCTCCTAAAATGAGACAGTGAATACAGACTAAGAAGGTTTGTTGGTGTCATCATTAGATACAGCGCTATCAGCACTTTCCTGTCAGATAAGGGAAACCTATCCTCTGCTGGATTGCAGAGCAATTGAAGATGCCCCTTTCCGTAACAGCTCCATACAGTATCTGCTTCCAACTGAGGGAAAAAATCCAACAAAGAACAATCTGAAACCATGGTGAGAAGCACTCAAAAAGAAAATTCACCTTTGATGAGGGTACTGCTGTGGAGCCTGAGGGTGATGCATCTCTTGATGTTTTCAGTGATTGAACTGACGTCCTCTCTTTACCTACAATTAAATAAAAAATAAACAACTGTAAAATTATATTAAAGATATATGTTGCAAATGTAATTATTGGCTTAGAAAAATTGCCATGAAATTTGCTTAAGTCAGACATGAAACGTACATGCTCCGGCATCTGATAGGTATTGATAACACTTCCCTCTCATTACAAAATGAGAGAAGAGATACAGCTATATCATTTCACATATTTAGGAAAACCCACTGTCCTTTTTTTCAACATTAACTGAAAGGGCATATCAATACGATTTAGTAAGATGATGTGGTTTCACTTTTTAATATTCCTGTAATAATATAAACAGGTGAAATATTAAACATCACTCAATCACTCCAGGAAAGCAGGCAGTGTAGGAACTGGTTTAGCAGGCTGCAGTATGTTGAAAAGCCCTGCCATGGGAAACAGTCTTGTACTGTATCAACCACAGGCAAAATGCTCTTTTGTATTATCAGTGTTTTTCTTGTAAGAATTAAAATCGGCAAAATGACAATTCAAATTCCCTGTGCTAATCACAGTCTGTGTACAGCCTTGCCACAGACCAGCTACAGGCAGCCCGCAGCAGCAGAACTGGTTGCAGTGTAAACTACCAGTTTTTCAACCTGTGGTCCATGGGTTACGTCTAATGGATATGCAAAAGGTAAATATGAAAAGCAAGTGTGTTGTCCATAGGCTTAATTTAACTGCAGTATTCACTCTCACTGGGAAACAGTTAAATCTTCATAAATGGAAAACAATGTAGTCTTACCTTGTCTCCATTAAATTTGTATCAACAAGACTGCATTGTGTTGTGTATTTCAAAATACCATTACGTACACCAAAAAATGCATGGAAAAGTCTGTGCAAAATGTATACTTTAAACAACTTGAAATGTTTAAGAGTTATTTGAAAAGTTGGTCTTCTACTCTTTCTCTGCACTTTCATACCATATGTATAGCCACAGATCAAAATGTAACCTTTTCTCTTGACCAGCATCTTTTCTGGTTTGTGAAGATGTCTGCTTCTACTTCGCTACCTCCACTACTGTTTGAGTAATTCTGCCAGTGCACTACAAATGTGATAGAAGTCAGCTCAGAATTTTAGGAAAACCCTGAAGCATTCAAAAATTTTATATGGTTTCTCACAATATTATTTTCCTGTTCCTGGTAATTATGATCTGCACATCTACAGCACTTCTACAAATTTAGTTGAACATCATACTTTGCTCTTCCTTTCCTATACTTAGAGGAATTCACATTCACTGAGTTTTGTTACAAAATGTTAAAAAGAACTGCGATGATGAGCTAGAAAGATAATTTGTATTCCATATGGAGTTAAATAATTTCTCAATATTTAAACAATGTTAACTAAACTTCGTAAGATATTTTTTGGCAACAAGTGCTACATAATGGTCTGGTGTGCCACTCTGGAAACACACAATATGCCCGTCAGTGAATTTAAAAAAAAAAATCTCATTGATTTTTAAAAAGCTGCCAAAATGAAAAGTAGGTTTGTACAGTTCACTAGAAAGCATTTGCAGAAAGAGAAATCAACTAAGATTAATTTACATATGCTGTACAAACAGCATTGCCTAAGATTTAATACACTAAAAAAAGCAATTTTTCCTTTTTCCCCCCCCGAATTTTTTAAATAAGAAAACCTTAAATATTTTCAAAACAGATGATTAATTAGATTTCTGGGAAAGATTAACAGTCAAGCTTTTAAAAGGCAGAACATACACAGTACAGACTTAACTGAGATATGTTTCGTATTTCTTTGAGGAAAGCAAAATTTGAGAGCATCTGATGAGATGAAACTGCTAAAAAACCAAAAAGCTTCAAAACCCTAATAATATAGTTCTAAGAACATTTTCAGAAAACATAACAAATAACAGTATGTACTTTAATTTCTTCATTTTTAAAAAATCCCTCTTTTCCCTTGGTTGCAGGAAGCAAAGGCTTCATCTGCTCTAGATGACAGCAAAGTTTCTTGTAAGGGAATCCAATGAAGCACACAGAGAAGTAACAGAAGCAGTTGATGCTAAAAGGAAAATAACATACAAGAATAGAAAAAGCTGTGCAGCTGAAACTCCTACAGTCAGTCTAGAGCTGCTACTGAAATAACACCTACAATCTCCCACATGAAATACATAAGGGAACAGAGAGCACAATGAAACAACCGAAGAGCAGATAGCACATAATCAGGACAAAATGTCTAGCTTTCTCATGATAAAAGACAGCATGTAAAGAAAAAGGGCTTATACATAGACTTGCAGTTTCACCTTACCAACCAGTTCTCATCATTAATCCAGCATTACCTTGCTGAGAAGAAATATTTCTTTTATGTAAAGATGACATACTTCTGCTATGATGGGACTGGTGGAAAGGATAGGCTTTGCTTCTTTCAGGAGAGTAGCTCCTGCTGCTGACACTAGAGCCAGATCTGCTGTGCGGAGAATCCCTTCGGCTCCCTGGCGATTCCCTGAAGAAAGGAGAGTTCCTCTTATGAGGGGATCGGTCTCTCATGTAATGAGAAGGGTAGAAGCTTTTTCTTCTGAAGCCGTCTCTGATGTCCCTTTGAAACAAACAGAAAAATAAAAGTTACCTGGTTATCCTTCCAGTATTTGTGGAATAGCACTAGATAATACAAAGGCAGCACTTTATGTCTGGCAAATACAAACAGGCTAGCTGGCATCTGCAGAACCCACCTGAAATCTTCAGCATTGCTGAAGTACAAGGCGTTGAATGAAAAACAAGTAGGAAAAGTAGAAAAAAAATATTTATGTCATCTTTTTTCAGATTTCATTCAACTACTTCATCGCTAGAAGCTAATTCCTTTATATTTCTTGCTAGTACAGCTAAAATATAAGACAAAGTGACATTCAAGAAATTGAAACCCTCACATTCTATTTCTTCAAATTCACTCCACAGTCAACTTCACTAGGAACTTGAGCTTTCATCTACGATAGCTAAAAATGCATATGCAAATATTGCTCACACTATTCAGATTTTTTTCAACTCTATTGTTCTCTTACCCTTATTTTCAAAGGACTGTGACCCTCATTTGATTTCACACTCCTTGCTATGGAAAATATCATTAAGGGATTTTAGCTTATATCCAGCAAGGACAAAAAGAAAACTGCAGAATATCTATCCTATGCCTACGTATCCACTCAAGGTCAAACCGTGAATGAAAATACAAAGATTTATACCTACTAAAAAGTCTATGTCTTTCACAATACACAATATTCATTTTGAACTTTACTGTAAAACGCTACAGACACACTCAGTATTACCTGAAACTCAACTGATTTGAAACCATAGTGTAGTAAATACATAAACTTTCTACTAAGTTTAGACAGTCACTCCAGATAATACCCCAAATGTCCTGGTTACCTGCAAATTATTTATCTTCATATATGTATGTATATGTGTGCAAAGGTCAAAAAAACAGTATCAAACTGAACTTTTCCTAAAGAATCTCAAAGCTAACAAACTTGCAAGTGAACACCTACTGAATCTAGACTTGTGACATTTGCCTTGGCTGGAAGGCACATTGCTAAGAAAAGCAAGTACTTCTCAGCTCCCTCACATCATTGCTAAGTAAAAATAAAGACTTCATAGCACGTACAGTAAGCCAGAATGTACCTCATTTCACTGCTATTCTCGCCTATTTCTCATCATGGTCCAATATTTTAAATAAGGGAATGTCTCACAAAGATCTGGTGGTCTCATTTAGCGTGATGTAGCTGTAGCTAATTCTATGTTGGCGGAGAAAAGGAGAAAAGCCCCCTAGTGTACAATTCCTATAGCACGTTAAAGGCCCACATTTCTGATGGCTCACAAAGGACTTCAGTGTGCCAAAGGTGTTTCGGACTACTGAAACGACACAGGTAGCACCACAGTAATACAACCCCTATTCCAGTGATGTGCTTTATACAGTGCTGATTTACTTTTTGCATGGAAAGCACATCTGCACGGATGGTTCAGCTTCAGAGCACAAGCATCCCACAAGCACCACCGAGGTTATTTTGCAATAGAAAAATCATAGGTGTAGGGGCATTGCCAGTAACAATACAGACAATCCTTCAGCTTATTTCTCAAACTCCAGATGGAATAAAGTATCAGGAACATAAAACAAATCTTTCTTTTGAAAGTTTTCCTACAAAACTAAAGTATGAATCAATAGCTTTCAGCCACCCTGGTTTTCAGTAAAACAAAGCCAGGTTTTACAGTTAAATAATTATTTCAGTGTTAACAGACCACAAGCCTTTTATAGGTATCTTATCTTACAGAAAAACGTATTTCACAGGTCTGCATATCGAAACTGAATGGTACATGGATTTGTATCTAACAGGTGTGCTAAAAATCAATATTCATTTCCCTTCTAAGCATCTTTTCTTCTCTATATTGTGACACTTTCTCCTCCTCAAGTGAGCCAGCAAAAAAGAAAAACAAATAAGGAATTGTAAAATAGTACTTTAATAGCCTCGATACAGTAGCCACTGTATAGATATTTACATCAAAGAATGAATCACCTCAGGATACACAGAAGTATAATCTCCTGCTTTCTTCAAAGGTCTAAGAGCGATGTGTCCACCTTTGGACACTACTCTTTAGGAAACGCGTGGATTAATTTCCAGAAGGAAATAACTGAAGAGATCAGAAACTGAGAAAACAAGTGTAATGATGAAACCCTTAAATTTAGCAAAAAAAACCCCAAAACAAACTCCAAAGCTAAAGCAGCCAAGTGAGTTCTCAAACCTATGAGATGTAGCTGAAAATAGGAAACTAATGCTTTATCTCCATTACATGTATGAACATTTCATGTAGCAATAGCCAAAGTAGGAAAAAAAAGACTTAGTTCAGACTTTATGAATACTAAAAAGATTAGCTAAGCACTGAACTAGTTTGCCTAGTTAAGTGTGTTTTTATTTATTAAAGCACATATTGGTCAAGTACTTATCAAGAACATGTTAGCTACAGCACACTTTTTCATCAGTTTCCTTCTAAATCTCTCTTTCTACATAATCTCATTTATTTTTAAAGCACAAGCTTTCTGGCAGACCAGTACACCACTTTTATGCCCAAAGCACATTTTTATGAGCAAGTTATTAAGCCCTGGTATACAGAGAAGTTTATTATGGAAATGTTCACAGAGCCCCAGCTATTGCACACATATAATAAATGTTCTAATATCCACAAAAGTATTTACAAAATATCATTGAAACACACCTTTGAACAGGAAAATATTTAAAGGTCTCATTCTACAATATTGCACACAAAACAGTAGAATCTCACTTTAATTTTCTTAAATTTTCATTTCATCACTCCATGTTAATTCCTAACTGGACCCTTTCTCATACAGAACGCTCAAGCCATTAACTGTATGAAATCTGTTTTGGACAGCATAGCAACAGCACAGCATTTCTGATGTTTTCCATTAATGTAACAAACCACACTGAACAGAACAAAATAAGCATTGTTTTACTTTTTTTTTTCTTTAAATACTTAAACTAACATACACCTGCAATTTGGTAATGAAGGCCCCAATTCAGCAAAGCAGTTAAGCACATGCTTCAGATTCCAACACATACTCAAAAGGTTTATTGAGCAGGGACAATATTTACTAGAGATGCAAAACATTGTGCTCAGCTGTAACTTTAAAATAGAATTACTGTATTAATAACAAATGCAGGATTAATCCCTTTCATAGACAATCCTTCTTATTTTTATACTTTGTATTCCCATCTCACACTTAGTCCTGAAAGCACAAGTCAGTTCTCTCAGCAGGATTGCAACAGGAAGTATTTGCATTTTTTACCTCCATGAAACTTAACCACAAAATTTTCACTAAAGCTGATGATCTTGGATCAGATCCTGCAATTTATAAGTAAACAGTCATACCCTGATATACCATCCACCAAGGGCAGCTGAGGGAAGAGCACAAGCCTGAGAGCTATTTCCGTTAACCATCTGTTCCAGTTTCCTGGAGGAAAAAAACACAAATACAGGATAGGCAAAGGTACAGCTTTCTGCATAGCAGGAGACTAAAAGAAAACAACACAGGGGAGCTTCGCATAAACCACCTTTCCTAAGCTATGGCTGCCACAACCAGAGTGTTTGTGGTCTCAACCCTCCCTGCCATTTAAAGCTCTGCAAAGCAGCTCTGCTGAGGGAAACTGAGGGCTCCAGGAAGCCTTCTTGTTCATAAAAGTGAGTGGTCCATGAAACAAAGACTAACACGAATTGCTGTGTCAGTTTTATAATTTAGAGTACATAAAGGCAAAATTCAATCACTTGCTGGATGTCAAATGCCTGGAATGGAGGCATACTTGGGTACATGAAAGCACATCACATGTAATATGGGAAAGTTATTTGCAAAAGGAATCCTAGTTCACCCTCACTGAATTCATGCTACTGGGCAACTGCGTACAATATTTCATGCATACTATTCTCTTGGGCCTCTGCATCCCAATACAGACATCCACATGTTAAAAGTCATGGCAGTCAGGTGAAGTCCCTGGTGCCTGGAAGAAGGGAAATATCCCCTCTCCTCTGCTCTGGTGAGACCCCACCTGGAGCACTGTGTCCAGCTCTGTAGCCCTCAACACAAGAAGGACATGGAAGTGTTGGAGTGGGTCCAGAGGAGGGCCACAAAAATGATCAGAGGGATGGAGCACCTCTCCTATGAAAACAGGCTGAGAGAGTTGGGGCTGTTCAGCCTGGAGAAGAGAAGGCTGCAGGAAGACCTTATAGTTGTCTGAAGGGGGCCTACAAGAAAGGTGGGGAGGAATAGTACGAGGGGCAGTGCTTTTAAACTAGAGCAGGGTAGGTTTAGATTAGACTTTAGGAAGAAGTTTTTTTACTATGCAGGTGCTGAAATACCAGAACAGGTTGCTCAGAGAGGTGGTAGATGCCTCACCCCTGGAAACAGTCAAGGTCAGACTTGATAGGACTCTGAGCAACCTGACCTAGCTAAAGATGTTCCTGCTCATTGCAGGAAGGTTGGACTGGATGACTTTCAAAGGTCCCTTCCAACCCAAACCATACTACGATTCTGTAAGCCAACACATTAAAATACCTTTTTCATTCTACTTCTAAATTGCATAAACACGCTCTCAAACATAATTTCCAAAAATAATTAGGCATACTAGACTAAGTGAGGTAGGACTTCATTTAACACAATGCAACAGTTAAAAGTCAGATTTCAGGAGAGAAAGACATTTTGACAGCTGACACAACACTGCTGTGTGTCATGAAGTCCATATTCAGTTCCACTTAGACAAGAGCACTTGTTATAACTCTCAAATACTACAAAGGTTTGTATACAAGGGAAAGAACCTTGTATGGTTATGCAAATATGTGTCATGAATAAATGTCAAGACTAAAAGAATAATTCATTAGCATGCAAAAATAGCACCACCTTTTAAAAACAATACCAACAGCATGAGATCATGGAAACGCTTTGTTGATGAACTTTTCCTCAGATGTAGATCATAACACATCCAAATGCAGCAGTAGGTGGAAATGGCCTATCAAAAATCTTCTCTTTGCAGCAAAATGCTTAACAAA